AAGAATACTTTGGCTTCAGGAGTCTGATGGCCTGGCGGAAAGCAAACCCTCATAGCAGACAGTATGAGGCTGTAGGATTCATCCACTGAAGGAACCAGACACAGCAAGAAAAGGTCAATTATCAAAGTCTGATTTGTCCATACAATTTCCCAAGAGGTTTATGAGTATAAAAGAATGAGTTGCCAGCAAAACAGTTTCATATTTAGTAATTCAGCCATTCAGTATGAAGGTACATGGAAGAGCTACTTAGTCACTGTCTTAAAGGTAGCCACAGAAAGTCAGGCTCTAATATGGCTTCCCAGAGCTTCCAGTGGTGTGGTGCTAGCGCCTCTCCTACAGTGCGCAACAGTGGGATGCACATATGGGAAGTCTCTGATGCAGCTGGAGTTTCCTGACAGTCTCAAAGGGAGAATATACCTCTAAAGCACCTAAGTGACTGTCAGGTAGACCAATCCGAAAACCCAAAAAGTATTAGGAACAACACATTTGCATGGGCTTCTTGAATCAGCAAGTCTCATGAACTTGCCAAACTCCATCTTCATAAAGTTTTACATGTTATTTCCATAAGCAGTTTCACACTTACTTGCTATAATTTAAAACCTTTCAGCCTGAGTTGATGCCTTCATTCCACTGGAGACATGGGCATTTAGCTTAAATTTTATTTTTCATGGGTGATTTTGTCCTGTTGATTCATACCCTCTCAGTCTCTGCTTTACTTAAGAAAACAAGCAAGCTTTTCTGTTATCTTTTCAGAAGACAGACTTTCCCTAGATTATCATACCTTCTCCAGCAAATGGGTGGAGGAGAGGGAAGGAAACATTTGGAGGGAAAATAGGCCCCAAAGTTTGAGTTCAGGGCTTTTCAAAACCTGTTTTACATCCTGTGTTTGCTTTGCAGAGGATTTCCATAATGGAGAAGAAGGAAGGTGATAAACATACCACTGATCAGAATGCAAGTCAGAACATCATGCCAAGAAGAAATATAGGAAACCTTGGCAACTTGGTAACGTTTCTGTAAAAGAAGTAAATTAAAAAAAAAAAAATTAAAAGGAAATAAAAACCTGTGTAAAAGTTTAAAAAGCTGCAAAAACAGATGTTCTGTAAAAAAAGCAGCTCAAATGTCACAGAGAATATTGCAATCTTTCATTCTATTTTGTCCAGAAGCAGTGTTCCCATCACACTGTCATATCATCAATTCTTCTAAAGTCTTGTCACACTATTGACATGAAGAGGTAAAACGATAAAGAACATCTAATTGAATTTAATCACAGTCCATAATAAAAAATACACAAAGTTTGGGCCACCTAAAAACTACATGAAGTTGGTTGACAGTTGCATTTTACCAGATGAACAAAGATATGTAGAAATAATTTGGAATTTTTATACAGGAATATAAAGTTTATCTTTGGAGGAGTCTTCACAATTGCCACATCACATTCAGTAAGTTTTCCACATCACGCAAGTCCAGAAAAATAATCCACTCCAACAGCATTTGCCTCTGCAACTACTGAGGCACAGAAGTAGTTCAAGCTAGAACTTTCTATTCTAAAGTGAACTGTCTCACAGGCTGTGAAATACTGAATAAGGCTTTGCAAACCATCTCTTAAAGAAATGGGTATCTCTAGGTAAAGCTTGTTTCAGACTTTGGATTCTGCAATACATAGACTATACTCTTCTTCACAGACTAGAGAATGAAAGTTACTTAGGCTATACCTTCACTGTTACAAAATATGCTTTTATCATCAGATAAACACATAGTAGCTATTCAGCTAAAAAATCCTAATGAAGAGCATGCATTTTAATTTTATTGTGAGGCACTGTAGGCAAGACAGTCAGACATGGTGGGAAATAGGCTACCTTGTCTCCAGTTAGGATTTTACAACAAGATAGCAGTGTACAATTTTTATCTTTGTCAAAACAAAACACCTGTGTATATCCAAAGATGAACACAAGACTTGCACCTACTTAGCCTTGCCTTATTTACAAGTAGTACCTTGTTTGAATTCACCCCTTAATCAGCTTCAGTATAATATTTGATTCTTGTGAATAAAGCCAGATAATGTTGCTGAGATAGAAAGATCTCTTGTATCCTAGCAGGACGCTAATTTACAACTTTCAAACTACTAATATTTGCCTTTCTCAAAACGGACAATGCCATTTCACTTTTTGGAGATCTGCCATGTTAGCCATTCTAAACCTGAGCCATTGTATCATTAGTTCAGTTTTACTTCATATTTCACAAGAATATTAAAGGACTTACATAGAATCATAGAATTGTTAGGGTTAGAAAGGACCTTAAGATCATCTAGTTCCAAACCCCTTGTTTATTACCTGTTATCAGTTCTCCACCCCTGGTCAGCTCTCTGTTGAATCAAGTGCAATGTCCTACTGTTGATAACTGTATTTTAATTTTGCAGGTACAGTGGTCATGTACCTCTTCCATGAATCTTTAAATATATTATCTCTGTGTAAAACGGTTTATAATATTACTCCAAAATTTTGTACTAGCTTAGCCCCTTGTAAAGTCTATGATAATTCTGCCAAGATCTTCTGTGAGACTAGAATCAAGGCATGCCTATTTGGCAGCAGAAAAATCAGCTTTTTAAGCTGAAGTGACTCAGTTTCACAAGATTTCATAATAGTTAAGGAAACACTATTACATTTGTGAAGGAGAGGAAGAAGACCACAGGACTTAATGCTGGGGTTGACCAATGTGCAGCTTGTCTAATATGCTGGATCCCAAACATTTCTATTTACATCTGTATTCCCCAATCAAATGTCATGAAAATAGCAGTGACTGAATGAAATATTTTAATGTCTTAACTTTGGATTCTGTTATTGTGCATATTATCTGGGCTACATCGTTAAGTCTGTAGGTGAAAGTTGACATTTGAAGTCTGTAGCTCATATCATAAGAAGCTGTAATGATGCTTCACAGAATGTAATCCATGTTCGTTTGTGGTATAGTTAACTTCCTGGAATTAAAATCTATTTTGAAATGACTACAGATAATGAATGAAGAATAAGAAATCTATGTTAAAAGTGCCTTGCTTAACTACTGACTATGTTTGAAATGCTATGTTTTCAAACTATCTATCTTGTTCATAATAGCGTGTATGTTTTGTATATGGTTTCAGTGCAGTACAGCATAAAGCCTCAATGGCAAATACTGCCATTCAATCTTCTCTTGAACTCATTCGCTATTTCCTTTCTGTCCTTTCCAGAATGCGGATATGCAAGTTACCAATCCACCAGAAGCAGCTGCACTTTTTAAATTACATCAAGCACACCATTTTGGTGAGTTTGAACACTCTTCAGAACAACACTGCAAGCAGGATCTGTTCCCCAAGTGGCACTTGCCAATGAAGATAGCATCTGTGCTCTCATTATTAACATTTATTTACACTTCTATGAGAGATGTCATATATCCTTTTATAACCAAAAAGGAAAATGTTTTCTATAAAATTCCTATCCTTGTCATAAACAAAGTTTTACCAATGGTTTCAATTACCCTTTTAGCACTAGTATATTTACCAGGAATATTAGCTGCTGGTTTCCAGTTGTACTTTGGCACCAAGTATAAAAGGTTTCCTCAGTGGCTGGATAGATGGATGTTATCAAGAAAGCAATTTGGACTTCTCAGTTTCTTCTTCGCTGCAATGCATGCCTGCTATAGCCTTTGCTATCCAATGAGAAGATCATACAGATACAAGCTGCTGAACTGGGCATTCCAGCAGGTATGATGGGTATGGAAACAGAATTATTTGGAAAAAAACTGCTCAGAAATTCCTCGGTTTGATTATTCAAGCAAATCTGAATGGGGGGAAAGACGTTTTCCTTGCCTTCCTTTGATTTTGAAGCAGATCCCTACAGAGCACTGTTAAGGGATGGAGCAGGACCTAGTTGTTAAAGCATGTAATAGAGAGTCAAGAGTCAACACAGCTATGCCAGAGTGTATTAAATAAGTCATTTTCTTCATCTGGGATTTTTTATGCCTGCAAGATGCACATAATTATACCTGCCTCACAGGAACATTTAAGTCTTTGGCACACTATTAACATGGATTAACCTTCTCTGCCCAGTTGAAATCTATCTACAAAAACTAAGCATGCACCATTTTTAGACATCTTCTTTCTAAAGTGAATTAGCCAGCTGAGGGCTGAACTAAATCACAATAATCTGTATTTGCCACAAACTAAATTTGTGAACACTGATGTGTTCAGAGCCCACAATTGGGCTGATGCACACCAACTTGTTAAAAGATAGATAGAATTTCAATCATGCTTCTGAGTCATGGACAATAATTGGCTTGCAAAGCTCTCCAAGATCCTCTGTGACTAGAGAGTTCCTAATACTTGCATATTACGTTGAGTGCCATAAATATTGCAAGGAATATTCAAATATAAGGTATAGACTTCAAATGTTCATTTTTATTACTCCCAAAGTCTAATCTAGAGTTTTATTAAAGGCACAGTATGATGTTAGCAGCTACTTACTAATTCTGTAAATAGTCAAACAGTCAAACCTGTTGAAAACTCTGAAATCAGACTTACTGGTAATCTGACTTGAATGGATTACCAGAAATTTCCTTGAGATTCTAGTCATCAAGATGCAGACATGATCATATTTCAGGCATATTACACCATGGTGAGCACTAGCAGCATCAAAGGGCTGTTGCAAGTAGTCATAAATAGGAGAAGCTTTGACATCAGTTTACTAAAATCACAATCTTTTAATCCATACCAACTGTTATATTCAGTGAAGTTGAATGTACCAAGTTGTTCTTAATCAAATAGAGCTAAACAACCATCCTGGCAGGATACCATAATTAAGCATGCCCGCTGAATTAGCTCCCTTAAATAGTGCTATTAATATATTTGCTGTTGTTATAAGCTCTCAGATACAGTATTTAGCCATAGACGGAATTTTTTTGTCAAAGAGTAAGATTTCTCCTGCTGTGATGGCAGGTTAACTGGCCTCAGAACCAGTGTTTCCTGGGCCAAGACACTGATGAAGTCTAAATTCTTCTCATTTAAAGTCCAACTTTGCTTTGCACATAACTGCAATGGAGACTTTGCCATCAGAAGTAATAGCAGTTACATTCAGAAACATTCAAGCAAACAAAAATACTGTGTTTTTTGGCTTATTTCCTGAATATTATGATGAAAATAGCTGTATTTCACACAAACGGCAGAGTATGCCAGTCTGTCATTTTAAATATTCATTTGGCAGGTCAAACAAAAAAAAGAAAATGCCTGGATTGAACACGATGTTTGGAGAATGGAGATTTATGTGTCTGTAGGAATTCTGGGACTTGCTTTGCTGGCCTTGTTGGCAATAACATCAATTCCATCTGTCAGTCACTCTTTGACCTGGAGAGAATTCCACTGCATTCAGGTATGCATAAATGTCATTATTGCATGTCATTAGTCCTCACTTGTAGGACTGCATGTTATCAGCTAAGACTATTAGGAGTTAGAAATATCAAACACAGAGGAGTTAGAGAAACCAACCTAAAAGTTTGTTTCATGCTCTGTCAGTTTCTTTGCAAGAAATGTTTATTTCATCTGTTACTTTGTCAGGAGAAAAGGCTGTCAGGTTCAGGGTATAAAGTGGGAAGAAAGACAACTCCAAACCACTTCTTCGCTCATCTGACTTCACGACCAGCAGCAGTTGTCCCTTCAGGATCCATTCTTAGGTCAAAGACCTCTGGTGCCAAAAGCATTTAAGTCACCTTCTGGGTACCTTATGTTTCATGAATGCCCTGTGTCCTGCTCAGTTGGAAGTAGGTGGTATGGAACCAGCCAACGCTGTTCCTATACAACACAGTACATAAGGACAAATGCTTGTTGCTCCCTTGGAGCTGCTTTGGCAATTCTTTACCATCTGAGCAGTACAAGGTGACTGGAAAGTCCAGAAGAAGTCTTCTGCCCAATAATATATGCAAAGATTTTCCATTAGCTTCATAAACCCCTCCAAAAGGTATATTCTGAAAAGGAGACATCTTAGAACAGATACATAATCAAATGCAGCCAGTCCTTAGTTTGCTACAGATGTGCTTGTTTTGTTTACCTAAGTATCTGGTTTGCTCTTAGTTCTCTATCATATACAGTAATAATAAGGGGTAGTTCTGCTGGCATCAGTATGATCATACTAAAGTTAAGCAAGTGTTGAATTAGGTCCCTGAATACCAAAATCTTAAAATTCAATGACTTACTAAGTACTTGACATTTGAAAATTTGACCTGAATTTGAAAAGTAGCTCTGAAATGTGCATCTTCCAGCAATTACTGATCTGAGATTCTACCCACTCTCTGAAGTACATAATTTGTAAGAAGTTTTCATCTCTACGAAGAATATACATGGACAGGTCTAGGAGAGAGTGTCTGAATGTATGACTGCTTGCAGTACTAAATTAATATGGTCAAGAAACTCAGAAGAGTAATACTACTACATTAGATCTGTTTTATAAACAGATAGATAAACATCATACTCGAAAATCAGATTCTGTAGATTTAGCAGTTGGAAAGGCAGTGTTTGACTTCATTGATGAGTAATTCCATTTTTGCAACAATATCAAGATTCTTATGCAGCAAGAATCTCAAAATTACTAGTAACTCTAGCATAAAGATTCCTTTACTCCTGTATTTCATAGACATCCGAAGCCAAATTTTTCACTATAACAGAATGAAAGACTTCAGTATCCTGTAGTTGTGCAATGGCTTTTGTCATGGTACTAGACTTACTAGAGTTTCTGATATTAATTGACCTTAAAATTTTTCTTTGCAAATAATCCATTAAGCTATTTATAAATCTGCTTTTGAACTTACAATAATTTATCACAGAAAGAAAGTAATTTGGGATACAGTTGACATCTACAAACTGAGATACTGAGAACTGACCCTTTTTCAGGAATAGCCTGTAATCTCTTCTGTGTATTAGCTAAGTGTCATAGCAGTGCATGAAATATGCGCCTCATCTGTTTTCTTTTACAGTGGCATAGAGGGGTATAGTTGGATTCTTGAATTATAGTTCTTAAATTTTAATTTAAAGCCAATAGTCTCTTTTCTTTGATTTATGTGAGTTGGTTGAGGCCCCTCCTGATTTCCATGTTTGCTTAACAAAGCTCTTTTTTCGCCAAGTTGGAAAAAACAGCTTACTATTTTCTTTCTCTTTTCAGAGCAAGATGGGATATTTAGCTCTGCTGCTATGCACTGTTCACGCACTGGTGTTTGCTTGGAATAAGTGGGTTGATGTTAATCAATTTATTTGGTATACACCACCTTCATTTATGGTAGCAGTTTTTCTTCCTATTGTAGTTCTGCTTTGCAAATGCATACTACTCCTTCCATGTTTTAGGAAAAGGATAAAAAAGATCAGATATGGTTGGGAAGATAACACACAAACCAATCAAACCAGTGTAACTTCCAGACTGTAGCTTAAATATGGACATTTCCTTTCTATGTATGAAAATATGCTCAAGGCCATGAAATGTTCACCTGCTAGCTCTGCTTTCACATTTTCCATAGATGTTTCTTTCTCACTTTTCATTTCAACTTTAGGAGTGTGGAATAGTTGATGCAGTTGAACTTTTTCTAAGACAAAAAGTGGAAACACTAATTTTACACTCCAGTCTATTAACTGTTATGGTATTTGATCATTTCTTTCTTCTGACTCACAATTTGTAAAATCCAAGGTCTTCATTGCCTCAATCCTGATTCTTTCATAGGCAAAAGCAATCATAAAGCATTGTTACAGGTGACCACAAAAAGTCAATAAATGATTATACCACAGAACCCAGGAATGCTTTCTGCTTCCCACAGACATGTTTGCTTCTTTGTTAAATCTCCATATTACAAAGGGACAACAACTAGAGTATTTATCATCCCATTCCCCTTATTGCCTGCATCCTGTGTTTCACTCTGCAGAATGGGGACCTTGGCACATGAGCCAGACAGAAGCTGTGTATTCCCAACAGGCCTTGAACTTAGGCAATTGCGCAAGCAGAATTGCAGGGAACTTTACAAGGTAAATCTCTACTGAGCGTGGGCACAGTCTAAAAAAAGATAGAGATCTGGGTCTAAAAACTAGGTGTGTCTGTTTACTTAAAACGATAAAACATTTCCCATTTTTTATTCCATGAACATGTCCTTTTGTTTCTGATGCTGGAAATTTTCCATGCTTTTGACCTAAGCCTCCAGCACTTGACATGTGCTAAGCTTTATTTGCACAAATTATTCCAGTGGGATAACTCACGTCAGGTAAATGTGTTTTACTGTTTACTCTGGGGCCAGCACAATTGTGTGACTGGAAGAAAAACATTAAAAATAGACATTTGAATCTTGACATTGATTTGGTTAGATTTTCATTTAAAGTGGCTTCTGAATGCACTTGCTTTTACAAAAATTTTCACATAAACTATTTAAACCTTACTTTCTGTATGTTGCATAGGTCTGGCTGAAAGTTTTAAATGAATAATTCATTTGTTAGTATCTATTTTTAAATATGTTATGCAGTTGTTAATATTTTCACCCAGCATCAGGAATATTTCTGCCACTCTCTCTGAATGAGTTGACTAGGACATGGAGTGATGATGCCACCTGTTGCTGGAATCATCTGAATGATGAACTATAATTGGTAATGGCTCCAGTATTAAAACAAACAGGAAAACAATGTATGTGTAAAAAAAATATGTAATGTATGGTGCTAATGATTCTGCGGCTAATGATTCTGTTGTACTTTTGTGGACTTGGTACACTGAGCATAAATAACAGCCAAATTAAGTAGCTACAGGGATACCACATTTTGCATTTTCCTGGTTATAACTTCATTCAACTTAAAAGTTGGCTTTGTTATTGGCACTTAATATTCTACTGCAAAAATAACTTGGGACATAGTGGCCTGTATAGACTGAAGAGAAATGAGTGGCATTGTGTGTCAAATCAGTTATGCATGACAAAAGCAAACACTCTAAAACACAGGAAGCTAGTCTGCAGTGTGAACCTAAGAAATTTCTAACAGAACAGGAAAAGTGTGGTTGTCAATGCACTAGCATTTACATCTGTAGAAATGAAATAAATCAAGTATTTTAGAAGTCATACTAGAGATGAAGAATAATACTTGCCAAAAGCTTATTCAGAATATTACCTGCACTTTGATGTCACGAGTCATAAAAAAATAATAAAATATTTTTTCCAGTGGAACAAATTGAGGCAAGTGCAATGATAAAGAAATCTCTTTGTCTTCTGCATTGTCCACTAGCTACTCATAAAGTGTGCTCAAACTTACTACTTAGGACAAAGCTAAGACTGCAAGTATTCCAAGCAACCCCTGTATACATCAATTGAAAAGAATGATGTTTGGTTTTATCAAAATACATGCTAAATCATATTAAATTGTACTCTCCCAAATCAACCTGCTTCTCCCGTACTTAGAAAAGCTAGAGAATTTAATTCAATCTTTAGCTTTGTTAAATTCTGGTCAAATAGTTGGACTAATTGTTTACAGCTGGTCAGAGAAGCCACCCCTTTGACACAGAGGAATATGAACAGCCTCAGGTATAAAAAGCATGTGGCACAGACAGCAGAACTCGACCCTTGATAACTGGAAAGGGGAGAATGAAAACAATCCTTGGAAGAAGCCATTCAAAGCTATTCATATGGCATGTATAAAATAAAATCAAGGCAAATTGATATGTGTATGCATGTAGAGAGCACAATAGTTCAAGGTTTTGCAATGCCTGTACGAAGTCAGCAAAGTACTTCAGTTGTTACATGTCTCCAATGTATTTACATCAGAGATACAGAATTTAAACTCTGGGAGACACTTATAAATTGTTGAAGGGACTTGGGGAATTTTAGGACAAATTTACCCAGGTAGCCAGATCCCAGAATCCCAGAATACTATTCCTGAGAAGTAGGAAGCTAGAGCCAGGGCTGTGCTGGTGATGGCTTAATGCAAATTCCTGTTGACAGCAGCATTTACTTTAAGCAGTCCCTCCCTTTGGCCACTCTTCTCTGTTCTTTCAGTTCTGCAAGTTTTTAAAACTGTGAAGTTAATGAGACCAAGGAATTGGATCCAGTTGAAAAGGAATGCAGGGAAAAGAATGACTGAGCCAGATCCATGCACTGGTCTGATTCACCTGACAGGCATACACATATGCCAACAGGAAGGACAGAAAAAGGAATGGCGTAAAGGGGCAGTTTAACTTAAACCAGCTTAGACTGTATGGTTGCAAGTGCTCCTGAAATTCAAAACTTCAGTTATTTCATCCTGTTTCAGTAGCAAGAATGTTTCATTGCTTCACTATTTGTCATATTCTTAGTTTTCCATGAATCAGTAGGCAAAAATGTGTTCTAGAAATTGTCACTGAAAAACATACAAAACTGATTGACCTCTACATGACTGTGCACTATGTAGAGATTATAATCTCACATCTTCCCTTCTTTTCTGCAACATCCATAGTCTCTGTTAGTGTCCCTTGATAACATGAAAAGTTATGTTAACCATTTTTGAAATTCAGACTAATTTTATTTAAGCTGATTTTCTTAAAATGACATTAAATGAATAATTTAGAACAACAAAACAGAAACAGATTCTTGAAAACATGTTGAATCCACCCCTGGAGAATGAAGTCTGCTTGAGTCACTGTAAGTGTCTGGCAATGGCTGACTATTGCCACTGATTTTTTTCAGTAGTGCCAGGATTTCCTTGACTGCATCAGCGTGTTTAGCTGCTGACAGCAAAATAATTTCTTTTCATGAGACCTTGGACTTCTTAAAAGAATCTCATTGAATCCAGTTGCACCAGGGTTCAAATTTTGCATCACTGATCTCTTCTATAGCTCAAATTTAACATCTGAATGGAGGTGGTGAGGCTAATTTATTAAGAATGCATAAGTTTTCAGAGATTTTCAAATGAAAATATATAAAACCAGTCAGCAAACCAAACTATGAACTTATAAAAAAGACCACAGCTTATAAAAAAGCTACTTCCAATAAAGATGATGCAACAGAAGATATAGTTTGTCTTTTTTTGGTTGTTTTTCTTAATGTATATTTCATCAAGAGTATAGTACTGAGATAAGTATGTCCTTGACTTCAATAAAGATGTGCACTCCCTGTGGGACTGGTAAAATACTGCCACTGCTACTGATGGAAGTATTTGGTCCTTAAATTTCATCTTTTGGTCTCATTACTGGAAAAGAAGTGAGGCAAGGGGGAGGTGGGGGGGGG